TCCTTGGTTTTACTCTTAGGTCATTGATCCACTTTGAGTTGATTTTTGTGTGAGGTGTGGATCTTGCTTTAGTTTTCCAATTTTGCCAACACCATTTGTTAAAGAGGCTGTCATTTCCCCATTTAACGGATTTCATCTCCTTGTCAAAAATTAGTTGGCCATAGGAAGATGAGTTGATTTCTGGGTTCTCTGTTCTATTCAATTGATCTATGTGTCTGTCATTGTATAAGTACCACATTGTCTTAACCACCACAGCTGTGTAGGATTTGAGATCAGGAGTGAGATGCCTTCTACCTTGTCTCCCCTTTTCAGGAGTGCTTTGCCTATTTGGGATCTCTTTTCATTACAGATAAAATTGGAAATTGCCTTTTCCATCTCGTTGAAAAGTGGAATTGGTATTTGTATTGAAATGCCATTGAACTTGTAGATTGCCTTTGGTAGAATTGTCATTTTCACAATACTGAGTCTTCAATCCACGAACATGATATATTCTTCCATTTCTCCTGGTCTCTTTTTGTTTCTTGTACTAATGTTTTGTAATTTTCTTTTAATAGATGTTTTGTGCACTATGTTATTGAAAGAGAAGTCTATTGCTTTTTGTTGCTCTAAGGTGGCATTGAGTCACACATGAGTCACACATGACACATCTGAACCCTGCTCCATCCTGTGTCATCCTTATCATCTCTGACATTCTTGAGCCCATTACTGCAGTCACTGTATTGATCTTGCTGAGGGGCTTTCTTTCCTTTGTGGACCAACCACCGTTCTAAGCATGATGTCCCTTTCCAAGGAATAGCCCCTCCTAGCAATATGCCCAAAGAATGTGAAGCAAAGCTTTATTATCTTTGCCTCCAAAGAGCACCGTGACTGCACCCTCTTCTAGACGTATTTGTTCTCTTGGCTGTCCATAGGATGTTCAGTACTTTTCTCCAGCACCACAGCTCAAAGGCATTAATTCTTCGATCATCTTTATTCATCATCCAGTTCTCAGATTCATAACAAGTGTGGGGAGCTCTGTGGTCTAGTGGCAAGAAGCTGCACTGCAATTTCCGAAGGTGTCCGGTTCGAGTCCACCAGATGCTCTATTGGAGAAGAAGGGGCAATCTCCTCCTGCGCCAGTCGGATCTGATTTGACAGTATACAACAAGGGGGGGAAAACTAAATAAAGGAAAAAGAAACAAGAAATAACTATTACTTGGTTGAAGTTGAGTCACAGGGTGATTTTAAGGTAACTAAGGGCTATAGAAGATAAACAAGTAAATATAGAATTACCCAAGCTACAAAGTAATTAGTACTATGCATATCCATTCTCCTAGAAAACAAACTGTCAGAGAGGTCTCACAGTTTAGGAGGCTCCTTTCAATCTCTCTCCTGTGGTTCTGGAGGAAGGTCTTTGTCTCTGAGTTTCTGCTCCAGGACCCTATACCCACGGCCCAATTTTTTTTTTAAATCCTTAATGACGCTGACCATCTCCTCTAAGACACTATCTCTACTTCTCTGCTGGGTTTGATAATTCATTGCAATGGCATACAGAAATCATAGGTATATTCCTGCTTATGGGATTTGTTAGAGTAGTAGTTGTACATTGTTGAGTCAAAATTGACTGCTGACTCGCCAAAAGGTCTTCAGGGGCAGTAAATTGCATGAGAGGAGACTGTTTATCTTTCTCGCTTGAAGCAACTGGTTGATTCGAACCATGTGTCTTTGAGTTGGCAGTGCAACTCCTTACCACTAAGCCCTATTAGGATATTAACAGGTTACAATGTAGGATCCAGATCTACCTGGATCAGATAGTTCCTGAGCAGGAACGACTCAGGACACCATTCTTCAGCCAGGACAGCTTTCTGGGGCCTTGGCTGCAGGCAGGCCCTCTGTTGCTGCGTCTTGCTCAGACCTGACCTCTGCCCTGCCCAGCAGCTGCTGCAGTTTCTCAGCTCATCGATAAGTGCCCAGGAGAACCCCACTCTTCCAGGAAGTCTCTTGCCCAAAGGAATTCAGCTTTTTTGCTCCATTCATCATCCAGCCCACAAGCACAGCCTCCAGTGTCACTCAGGGATCCTGAGTCCAAACATGTGGTCTGTTCCTGACTTTTCTTCTGGATGATAGTGATTCTCTCCTTTTTTAAATTGATGCTAGCAGGATGTCAAAACTGACCCACCACCTTGGTAAGCCCCAGGTGCTTTCTTTCATTAATCCTACTGCTGCAAGTGTTCTGGGGGGCCTTATTTATATCATTAGCAGATTATCCAATCCCTGGTGGAGTCCCATGTACCTTATTTGCATTCCTGTTGGTAGGTGCTGTCAAGCCGACACCAAATCATAGCGATTCTCTGCACACAGAATGCAGCCCTGCCTAACAGCATGCTGCTCTCATGTTCTCCACTGTGCTTAAACCCATTGTTGCAGTCACTGTGCCAATCTATCTTGTTAAGCATCTCCCTCCCCTCCGACTATTTTTCCAATAATGATGTCATTTTTAGGGTCTGATCTCTCTTGATCACATGCCCAGAGTATGGGAGACGAGGTCTCACCGTTTTTACTTCTATGGCCCACTGGCTGTACCTTCTTCCAAGACAGACTCATGTTCTCTTTTGGCAACCCATGGTACATTCAGCATTCTCCAACAACATCACAATTGGAAGGCCTTGATCAGTCCTTGGTCTTCTTTATTCATTGTCCAGCTTTCATATATGTAGAAGCAATTGAAAATACCATGGCTACATGTCTTTCAGATGACATCCGTACACTTTAGCACTGGAAAGAGTCCTTTGGCAGCAGATTTACCCAATACATCAAGCCATTTGATTTCTTAATTGCCACTTTCATCAGTGTTGATTATGAATCTAAGTAAAATGAAATTCCCTGAGGACATCAGTATTTTTTTCCATTTGTCATGATGTAATCTAATTGTGAAGATTTTTATGTTCTTGGTGTTGAGGTATAGTCCATACTAAAGGCTGTAGTCTTCACTGATCCATCTCAGTCATTTCACACACTTTATAAGACCATCACTAGAAAGGACATTATAACAGTAATTATCTGTATTGCATCTCCCCATTTTCTGATAGTGGGATGACAGAGGGTGAATACAATATCAAAAACAACTGAGAATTCTAAAGCAGACCTTTAATTCCCAAAGTTACCCAAGGGGTGCTGTCATCACTGCTCCCCAGTGCAGGCTCCTGCTATGTCCTGGGTGGCCTCATTCTCTTCTCACTCTAAAGATGTTGCTTGAGAGGAAGGAAGGTAAGAAATGAGAAGATAAAGGAGGACAGATGTGCAATCAGGTGTGAAATGCGTTTTTCTTGATAGAGCTTTTGCTTGACTTTGAAATTTAATCAGGTTTTTTTTAGGCATCTTGATGGAGCCGAGTTTTTACCATTATACCTGCATTTCTTTGCCTAAGGATTTCTGTTAGCATCATACAATAAAAATACCTCGGGGTTCCAAATGTCTACCTAGCAGAGGGCAACAAATCAATGATAGTGATAAAGAGTGATGGGACTGAAAAACATACATACCTCTGACCACAGGGGAACTGCTGATCAGCCAGGCCAGTTGTTTGGAAGCTGGGATATGAGTCTTGTAATTGCTGCCCCCCTCCCCTAGCTAGAAGCCAGTATTTTCATAAAAATGTTGTAACTTTTAAAGTGTTAGCAACACAAGAGGGCCAAACTGAACATATCTGTGGGGTGGACACCATTCATGGGCTGTCAGTTGGCAACCTTTGTGTTAGACTTTATTGTTCACTGGGCACCTCACAAAGAAGTTATTACGTCCTTACTAGTAGGTCGAAAGTTGAGTTGGTATCTAAAAGGTCAACAGTTTGAATCTGGAGAGAAAGTGGGCTCCCATTAAGATTTATAGCCTTGGAGCCCCAATGGAGAATTGCCAAATGTCAGACTGATTCCTACTCACTAAGCCACCAGAGCTCCTCCAGCAAAGGTAGGCAGTTCAAATCTACCAGTTGCTCTGTGGGAAAAAGAAGAACAATTTCCTTCCATGTGATTTACAGATCCTGAAAACTGGAAGATAAGTTGTGAATAAGGTTCCGACTAGATGGCAATAAATGTGTTTTCTAAGTTTTCCTGTTTGAAAGGCAAGAATTTTACCCTTGAATCAATGTTACCTCCTAAATGAAAACAACTTAATGGTGTTTTTTTCTTGAGTTCTTGGTTAAGCAGATTTCTGGACAACTACAAGGGAGCTCTGATAGCTGAGTGGGAAGGAGTTGTGCTGTCAACACAAAGGCACTAAGTTCAAATCCACCAGCTGCTCTGTGGGAGAAAGATAGGCAATCTCCTCCCAAGAGTTTTATTGCCTTTGAAAACCTGCTGGAGGGTCAGCAATTCAATAGTTTTGAATTGATGGACTAAGGATGACAGAAGAAGAATCGATGCCTTTGAGTTGTGCTGCTGGAGAAGAGTGTTGAATATTCCAGCTGACTGCCAAGAGAACAAACACGTTTGCCTGGAGAGAGTAAAAACCATGTTGTTCCTTAGAGGCGAGGATTTTGAAGCTCCTTTTCACATACTTTGGGCATGTTGCCAGGTAGAACTGGTCCTTGGAGAAGGACATCATGCTTGGAAAGGTGAAGGGACAGTGCAAGAAGGGAAGACTCTGAATGAGATGGATTGACACCATGACTGGGATAATGGGATTAGGTGTGTCAAAGACAGTGAGCCTGGTTCAGGATTTGGCAGGGTTCAGGGCTGGTGTGCACAGGGCCATTATGAGTTGCGGGCAACTTGACAGCACATAACAACAACAACAAATAGACAACCTCTAGGCAAAATTATTTTAGTCTTGTTTCATTTTCTTCAAAAGTATTTTATAGCACATTACATTAGCTTATTTATCAATGTGTCATTGATTTGCCGTGAACCTGCTTACAGCCCTCAGGTGGGCAGGAAACAGGATCATTCCTGACTCCATGGGTTGGTAAATGTTCCCATCTCTTTAGGAGCTTATTGCATTTCTCCTCCTCACTTCTGCCAAAGGACAGGTGTTTCTACTTCCGGAAAGAAGAGAAGCACAGCCCGCAGTGATGGAGACCCTCCAGATGTGCACAAGAAGCTGCCGTCCAGTGCTGGAGAGGACCGAGCCATGCTCCTGGGGTTTGCAATGATGGGCTTCTCTGTACTAATGTTCTTCTTGTTTGGAATAACCATCCTGAAGCCTTTCATGCTCAGGTAAGGGGGGCGGGGGGAAGTCACTGGTTCCAACTCAAACCAGTGCCAGGCTCAGTGGTGAAGGAGAGAAGGCTGGGTTTTGGTCTGTCCAACCTCAGCTCTCCTGGCTGCAACCTAGGGCAGGGAAGACAGAAGTGCTGTGTCTTCTCTCAGTGGGAAAAGTGAGGAAAGCTTGGTGTTCAAGCTGCTCAATAGTAATATCCCCTCTCTTTCCTTTTACTAGTTTCCTCATTAAATACAAGGGAGTTCTGGGGGCCTAGTTCATAGGCAGCTGTGCTGCTTACCCAAAGGGAACCTCTCTGGTGGCTGGAATCCATCAACAACTCTGTGGGATAAAGATGGGCAGTCTCATCTTCCGACTTGATGGCAATGAGTTTTGAGTTTTTATGAAATATAAAAACTCTGTATATGATATGCCAAATATATTCTGTGTTGTCTTCTATTTAAACATACGGCAACCAAGATGCCATTATTTTATTATTTTAATTTGCATTTTGAGAATGAGAAAGGTACAGCTCAGAAAGGTCAAGCAACTTGCCTTAAGTCACAGTCACTAAATAATAATTTTATCACTCTACTGTAACACTCATTGCCTCCTAATTTCTCACTGAAGTCTTCTGTGGTGTGACAGTGTGACATTTTTTTTACAAGGGCAGGACAGAAACGATTGAATTTCAGAGGATAGTTCGTGCACCATGAGGTATTTTGAGGAAGAGAAGAGGTATCAGGTAAAAGCAGAGCATTTTGACTCTGGAAAGACAGAGAGCCATATAAAGACTAGAAAGATTGGGAAGAGCGAGACTGGAGTCCTGTGAGGAAAAAAGATCATGGATGAAGAAGTCAATAGTTTGCTTTTATTATTTATCTCCTAGCTTGTCTGGATTGCTACTGTTAGTACAATTATGTGGAGGTCAGTACTACTACAACACACAGTGCTGTTGTTGAAGGATCCCAGGGATATTTTCTTTCTGCAATTAGAACTAGGAAAAATTTGTGCTGATCAGTTTACGTTTATTCAATATAAACCTGTTGTTGTTGATGTTATGTGTCATCGAGTCGCTTGCAACTTATAGTGATCCTATGTACAAGAGCCCTAAATGCCGCTCTATCCTGTGCCAACCTCACCGTCTCAAACACACTTATTCCCACCACTCCACTCATAGAATCGATTCATCTCATTGAAGGTCTTCCTCTCCGTCGCCGCCCCTCCACACTGCCAAACATGATGTCCCTCTCCAAGGACCCGTCCCTCCTTGCAACATGCCCAGAGTATGTCAGATGAAGCTTCAGAATCCTTGACTCCAAGGAGCATTCCAGCTTCACCTTCTCCAGGACAAACCTATTTGTTCTCCTAGCAGTCCATGGTATATTCAACACTCTTCTCCAGCACCACAGCTCAAAGGCATCAATTCTCTTTCTAGCATCCCTAGTCACTGTCCAACTTTCTGATGCATAGCACATAATTGCGAAGACTATAGCCCAGATCAGGCACACCTTAGTCTCCAGCCTGACTTCATTGCTCTTCAGTACTCTTGAGAGGTCCCTCACAGCTGACTTTCCCAATGCAATTCATCTCTTGATTTCCTGGATGCTGTTATCAAGAGTGTTGATTGTGGAGCCAAGCAAACTAAAACTATCTCAATCTCTTCACCATCCATACTGATGTTGCCAATTGGCCCAGAGGTGAGAATCTTTGTTTTCTTGATGTTGAGCTTCAATCTATATAGGAGGCTGCAGTCCTTGACCCGCAGCAAGCGCTTCAGGTCCTCCTCAGTTACAGCAAGCAGGGTTGTGTCATCTGCATAACGCAGATTGTTGATGACTCTTCCACCAATCCTGATGCCACATTCCTCCTCGTACAGACCAGCGTCTCTGATGATCTGTTCTGCATACAGATTGAAAAGGTATGGAGACAGAATACATCCCTGACGGACCCCTTCTTGATTTTGAACCATCCAGTATCTCCCTGCTCTGTTCTGACGATTGCCTCTTGGCCCAAGTATAGGTTTTGCATTAGCACAATCAAATGTTCTGGGATTCCCATTCTTCTCAGAGTCAGCCACAGCTTGTTGTGATCCACACAGTCAAAAGCCTTTGCATAGTCAATGAAGCACAGATAGACATTCTTCTGGTATTCTTTGCTTTCTGCCAAGATCCATCTAACATTAGCTATAATATCCCTAGAACCATGACCTCTTCTAAATCCAGCCTGCACATCTGGCAGTTCTCTGCTGACATATTGTTCCAAATGTTTTTGGATAATTTTCAGCAGAATCTTGCTTGCATGTGATATTAATGATATTGTTCGATAATTTCCACACTCTGTTGGGTCACCTTTCTTTGGAATGGGAACAAATATCGATCTTTTCCAGTCCGTGGGCCAGGTGGCTGTCCTCCAGATTTCTTGGCACAACTTAGTGAGCACATCCAGGCCAGTGTCTGTTTTTTGAAATAAGTCAATTGGTATGCCATCAACTCCTGGAGCCTTGTTTTTTGCCAATTCCTTCAGAGAAATTTGACCTTCCTCCTTCATCACCATAGGCTCTTGCTCATATGTCATTTCATTAAATTCTTCTGTGTCAGCCAATTCCTTCTGATACAGTGACTCTGTGTATTCCTTCCACCTTCTCTTGATACTTCCTGGATCATTTAACATTCTACCCAAAGTATCTTTAAGTATTGCCATCCATGGCTTGAATTTGTTTTTCAGCTCCTTCAGCTTAAGAAACGCTGAGCGAGTTCGGCCCTTTTGATTTTCTGACTCGAGCTTTCTGCACATTTCATTATAGTATCTTGCTTTGTTGTCCTGGGTGGCCTTTCGAAATTTTCTGTTTAGCTCTTTGATTTCTCGGTTTCTTCCTTTAGCTTTGGCTTCTCAGCGCTCTAACACAATATTCAGTCTCATCTGACATCCATCTTGGTCTTTTCTTCTTTTTCAGCCTTTGTAATGATCTTTTGCATTCTTCATGGTATTTTCTTGATATCCTCCCAGAGCTATGGTCATTTACTTCATTGCTTTGGCTCAGAAACCAACTTTGAGGCCTAATTGTAGTAACTCTACAGGTGAACAGTGCAATATACTGTGAACTATGCCATCAGCGCTCCTACTAGGAACTACTGGATCATATGGGCTGAACTATACTAGGAACTACTGGATCGTATTGGCTAAACTATACATGCTATGTCTCTTCAGTCCTGTTTCATTCTAATTTTCTACTCTCCTTTTCCTATTATTTCATTTTCAGCAATTAAAAAAAAATCTTGTTCATTACAAATGCCTATAGAAATGAAACTAATAATTTATGTATATACCAAGGATGGACACAGGTTGGTCAAATTACTTTTTACAGTGTGTTATATTTGGGAAATTATTTGAGGATAACTTCTACAAGCTGGCACCAAACTCTTGGTCCTATTTAAATATTAGTTTTCTAAACATTTCAAGAAATAGTTTGGAGAAGTAATTCCATTAATCTTTAAGAGAGAGATTAGGTCTCTCTTGCCATGTGATCTTGTCCAGCTTACAAGAGTAATTTTACTTCATATAAGATGATAGATGGTAACTCACACATAGTCCATTCCCCAGTTCCTCCTTGTTCAATCAAATGATAACAGTTTATTTCTCTGCTATAGACTGAATGACATACACACTGAATGCTGTTGAAAGGACATGCTTATTTTTTTCAGCTCTGTGTTCTAGTTCCACCTAAACACTTGGGCCTGAAAAGAACATTCCCTCTGGAGTTTCTTGAAGTCTTTAGGAAGAGTAAAGATCGTATTAGTACTTACCTAGGAGCTTAAATTCTAACACAGGTCAACAGGCAATATTTTTGTATTGTACAAAATACAATAGAAAGTTGCCTACACTAAAGCAGGGGACTCTGGCGTCTTAGTGGTGAGGAATAATGATGCCAACCCACAGGTGCTCTGTTTGAATACACTAGCTTCTCTGAAGGAGGAGGATGGGCACTCTCCTTCCGAGCAGTTCACTACTGAAAATCCACTGGAGTGTCAGCCAGGAGCCAGTTTCAACTTGATGGCACATAACAACAACAGAAACAAGATGTAGGTCCTGATCTCAAACCAGTTTCTCAGGAGTCAGATGCAATTGTCCCTAATACCATGTATCTAGAACTATGCTTCATATTTTTTAAATGACTGATTTTTACTGAGAGCAAAACACGGTAAGTATTTAATGAGAGATTCCTTTTTTTTTTTTTTATTTGTGTTTGCCCTTTTAGAAGCAGAGTGAGAATATGGAACTGTACCTTTTGTCAGACACGAAGGGTTCTGCAGTTGGACTACTTCTAAAGGTCTATCCTACTCAGGTCAAGTCAGTGGGTGTATCTTTGGCATTAAGGATGTTGAGATGTTCAACACTGAGTTTTGGTGGATACTCTGGTGGCACACTGTAGAAAGCTGTGCTGCTGACCCAAACCCCAGGCCCCTCTGGGTGTTTGAATTCACCAACAGCTCCTGGGAGAAAGGTGGGCAATCTTTTACTGTGAGATTTATAGCTTGCTGAGGTGATAATGATAGTGATTTGAGGTTTTTTTGACAATTATATAAGACTATTTTTGCTTACAGTTCTCCAAATACCTGTATTTGTTATATGTGACAATGCTAGTGAGGTATTCAATTGGGGTTCAAGTCAGACCCACTGAATTGGAATCTCTAGGAGTGAAACTTCAGACTCCGTAGCTTAACAAACTGCACAGGTGTTTCTAAAACTTGAAAACCACTGGTCTGAGTAAGGATTGATGCTGTTGAAAATAGGCCTGTGGGTGCAGAACTGAGATGGAATTTGGCAATTTGCTTCTGTTTATCCCCTCCATTCTGTGTTACATTTCTAAAATGGAAATAGACAAATGTCTTGTGCTGCTAGGTTAGACATAGAGAACTCTATTTCCTAGATAGTGAAGAACGTTTATTGTTTTCAAATTGAAGTACTCAGAGAGAAGAATCCAACTGCACGATTCTCTACACGCACATCATGGACGACTGGCCGGACTGTGCGTTCACCTGCGGGGTGGACTGCCACGGTCAGGCCAAGTACCCTTGCCTCCAGGTGTTTGTGAACCTCACGCACTCCGGGCAGAAGGCTCTCCTATATTACAATGAAGAAGCTGTGCACATCAATCCCAAGGTAATGTAACGCTTGCCTTCTCTCCCCCCTTCTCACAGTCATCGAGTCAGAACCGACTCATAACTGATCCTCTAGCATGTTTTCCAAACTTGTAAATGTCATCAGAGAAGAATGCCCATCTTCCCCCCGCAAAGCACCTAGTAGATTTGAATGGCTGGAGAGGCATGGCCTTTGGGTTAGTAACCCAACTCCCTATGAACCGTTGCCAGCATAAAGGTCAGGTAATTAAAGGGTCACAATGGCAGCAACCTCTCATGCCAGGCTATGCCCAGGAGGACACAATGCCCAAGAGCAGGGAAGTATCACTTGCCCCGTGCCTGTGATCTCATAGCTACTGAGCGACTTACAAGAGTAATTTTGCTCCATAATAGATGCCCTCCCAGCCCTGAATATCCTTCCCACACCCTCCCTGCACCACCCCAACTCCTCAGTGTTCAGGTCAAGGTAAATGAAGCAAAAACCAGCCTGAGGAAATGACAGACAATGACAACAAGCATCATCCCATTCCACATTACACCAAAATGTCAAAATGGACTCACAGCCCACCGTATGGCAAGCAAGGAATGGTCTTTATAAAAGAAATTTAAGGGATTTAAAAAAAAAAAAATCACTTCGTTGATTCATATGATGATATAAAGGAGTGGGCTAGTGTTGGGCTTCTAACAAAAAGGATGGCAGTTTGAATCCAGCAGCTGATCTAAGGGAGAAAGATGGGTGATAAGGATTTGTCGTTGTTGTTGTTAGGTGCTGTAGAGTTGATGACCACTCACAGCGAAGCTGTGAGCACAGATGACCCTGCCTTGTCCTGTGCCATCTTCATCACCTCTGCCACGTTCGTGCCCATTGTTACAGTCTCTGTAAAGAGTTACAGCCCTGAAACCAGGTGGAGGCTTTCAGCAGCAGTGGGTCTAAAAGTGAAGGCAGATTAGTTAACATCTATTTTGTTGTGTTTAAGTAAACATTAACTTCCACCTGATCCTGAAAAGATTAACAGCCTTTGAGAGCTGATGGAGGGCTGCTATGACTCAGCATGGCCTCCACAGCAGTGGGTTGTCCTGAGTGCGGTTCATTTTTAAAGCCGCAGGCATTTTTGTAGACCCTTGGCACAGTGTTTATAGTGCCTAACAGGCATGGCCTCAAGATCTAGAAGAAACCACGACTTGATAGAGCTATCTTCTCTACATCGGTGTTGCCTTCCAGGAGCCATAGCCAGGCAGGCCTGCCTTCTGGGACCAAGGGCAAAAGCTTCCGGGTTTTCTTTAAGGGAAAGCTCTCACTACTAGAGACAAAGAGATCAGAAGCATCAGTTGGTGGTGTTAGGTGTGGTTGTTAGGGGCTATAGAGGCCACCTAATGTGCTCTTTTGTTAGGTGCCATGGGGGCCACTATGGCGCACAGCCATGCTATGAAGAGCAGATCACAGATCTGCCATGACCTGTCCTGTGCCATCTTCATCATCTCTGATCTACTTGAGCCCATTGTTACAGTCACCATGTCAATCCATCCTGCTGGGGGTCTTTCTTTCTCTGACCCTCCACCTTTCACAGCATGACATTTTTTTCCCTAAGGACTGACCTCTCCTGATAAGCCCAAAGCATGTGAGATGAAGTTTCCCCATTCTTGCATTTAGGGGGCACCCTGCTTACACTTTCTCCAAGGCATTAGTATTTTTGATTGGAAAAGGTTCTTTGGGTTGCTTTTTAGTCAGGGCCTTTAAGAAATTGTTGCTTCTGCAACGACAGAATTCCTTCCCAAAACCCTGTCTAGCCCCTGGGAATGGCCATCTTGCTCATTACTCTTCTGCCTACCCTTCACCTTGAGGTACATAATACTTTTATCATCTTATATTATTGAAAAACAAAACCAGAAAACCAAGGCTAGTTGACTCCCATTCATGGTACCCACCTGCATGTGCTGGAGGACTGTGCTCTATGGGGTTTTTAGTGTCTAATTTTCCACAAGTAGAGCAAGCAGTAGGTCTTTCTTCTGTGGTGTTTTTGGGTGGATTTGAACCTCCAACTTTTCAATAAGCAACCAAGTGCACTAACTATTTGCACCACCTAGAGAGTCCTCTGAAGTTGAAATTCCCCACTTAGAGCCTCAAGCTGGAGTTCTTTCAGAATGCAAACCATCACTTAAACATCGCTGACAGTACCTTTACCTTTCTCCTTCATATTCCCAGTGCTTTTATACACCTAAGTGCCACCGAGACAGGAATGATCTGCACAACAGTGCTATGGACATAAAGAAATTCTTCGACCACAAAAACGGGACCCCCTTTTCCTGTTTCTACAGTCCAGACAGCCAGTCGGAAGATGTCATTCTCATAAGAAAGTACGACCAAATGGTTATTTTCCACTGTTTATTTTGGCCTTCACTGACCCTGCTAGGTGGTGCCCTGATTGTTGGCATGGTGAGACTGACACAGCACTTGTCCCTACTCTGTGAAAAATACAAGACTGCTGTCTGAAGGGAGGAAGGCCACAAAGCACCTTACAGAGAGCAGAATCAGTACCAACAGTGTGATATGGAGAGGGATGAAAAGCACAAGGGGAGTTGTAAGATGATGGCCAAATTCAAGTCTTGTCCTTCAGCTTAGGACCAAATTATGCCTGCTAGCAAAGTCGCCATGCAGGCAGCAATTCCAGTATCATAGCTGCTCATGGGAAAGTAGAATTTTAAAATCCTCATTATGTATTCTATTATTTCTATGGATACATGCAAACTTAACTGTCTTCTTACTCCAAAACTCTTTCCCTATGAGCCAAAAGCAGCACATTTCTGCTCTCACATGGCAGAATGAGCGCAGGGCAATATTGTGTTATGTAATGTTAGCTCGCCTTAGAATCTGTCAGTGTGTTAATCTAACCTATTGAGCGTTGACCCACACCATCCTAACTCCATACAACTAGTCCACATGAAAACATTTCTCAAAAAGAAAATGTGAGGAGCAGTTCACTCACTGCAGGAAGATAAAAATCTGCTAATTTAAGAAAATGCAGCCCTGCCATATCTATTATAATTTGTTCTTTCTTCTCCATTCATGGTAGAGGAATGTTGCTGCCTAGAACATTCACTAAGTTTGGAGTTATTTATATTTAACCTTGCCTTAAACCATGTAATTTTTCTTTCGGCAGCATCTTTCTAGTTAATTATGCTTTTCATAAGCTCATTTTGTTCTTTATGCTCATTCTGGTGGGGGTGGGAGAAGTGACTAGAAATATGCCGTGAAAGTGGGGGAATGATGCTGGAAACCAATGCTCATATCAGATAATCTGTATGGTAGAGAAGTCCCACATGAATAGTCAACAATTGTCTTTTAATTAATGAATCAACTTTGTTATTAAATACTATTATAAGCCTCTCTCAACAAGTGCTTTCTGGGCTAATTAAATCGAATATTGTTCTAAATTTGTTTTCTAAGCATAACGTGTCTCTTCTTCTTGGGATGAACCAATCACACACTATCCGAATAGAAAACAGTAATAATTGAAATATGCATTTGTGGCTTCAACTTAATGGGCTTGAAACTGTTGGGGGGGGGGATCCCAAGCATTGTACATAGTTCGATGGACACCAGACTTCTAGGATTTGGAATAGATGAGCCTAAGAGAGAGACACATTATGCTTGGAGAACAAAGTGTGTCTGGAAAATATTGTTTCAAAGTAACTTAAACCATTTGGCAAGTACAGTCTAAGAGAGGATCTGCTTAATTGCATAGATGATGCCTATGAGCATTACTGATCAAAGAAAAGCCCAGACACACCTTTCTCAAAGTTTATATTAAAGCAGACTAGTTTGCTTTTAGCCTAGCTTCACTTTTGAGTTTTGGTCTTCAGTGGACTTGGGAAAAAAAGTGTGTTTATATACATTGAACACAGAACTGATGCCTTTGTGAAGAATACTGAATATGTGGACTGCCTACAGAGTGGCCCAATCTGTCTAAGAAGAAGTGCGACCAGGGTATTCTGTATGGCCAAGGATGGTGAGACGTCATCTCGAATACGCTGGGCATGTTATCAGAAAGGGCCAGATTCTGGACAAAGCATCATGTTTGGTGAAGTACAAAGTCAGCAACAAGGACCTCTAATAAAATAGATGGACACAGTGACTAACGTTCTGCACAGGGATTGAGGATGGTGCATGACTGTGTAGGGTTTTGTCCTGTTGTACACTGGGTTGTTGTTAAGAGCTGACTTGCAGCACTTACAATGTACTACTGCCATTTTTTTTTTGTGTGTATAGGAAGTTAATATTTGAACATATATTTCTCTAATAAATGTCCGTTATGCCCTGTACTGGGGCATAAAAACTGCAATGAGGGTTGCAGAGTGGAATATATTTGGGGGTAGGGGGTGGGGTTTGGGGAGGTGCGGGGGGTATTGTGTACCAATGAGGGAGTTTTTCTTTTGCTTTTCAAGGAGA